CAAAATAAACAGAAGGTCGAGGAAGGAGAGAGTAGGAGGAGTGACCTGCCAGGTAGGTAGACATAGAGAGACATAGGGGAGGCCTCTAGAGGAGGTGAGAGCAGAGATTAAGACCTGCAGATGAGAGGAAGAAAGAGCACACGTGCTAGTCAGAGGAGCAGGTGGGCAAGACCCTGATGTAGGGAGGGCTTGACTCACTTGGGTTCACAGAACAGGACCACTGTGCTCCGGGTGTAGTGACACCTAGCACTGCAAGGTAGTTGGGTGGCCTACTGGAAAGATAAACTGTTTTCTCTTACTGTACTCAGGCTTGCTTTCAATACCTGGCTTCTGGGCAGTGCTTATGGCTCAGTGAGTAGGATGCCAGCCCCATATACCGAGGGGGGCAGGTTTGAACCCAGCACCAGCCAAACTGCAACAACAACAACAACAGCAACAAAACCTGGCTTCTCTGGGTTTCCCCACACAGCTTAAGCAGTTCTCAAGCACATGCCAACATGGTGTCCTATAGTTTAATTCAATTCTGACACTATCCAAATAGTCCATGGGTTGAAGGCTCAGGCCCTCAAGACTGCCCCCACCTCAGATGCTGATCTCAAGTCCCAGGTTGTGCCCTGTGTTTCTGACCAACCAGCTATAAAGTGGGGTTCCCAAAACTCCCTCTTAGGTTAAGGTGACCAGACGTCCCACGTTTGGTGGGACAGTCCCAATTTTTAACATTTGTCTCAAGTCCTGCAGCATTTTAAGAAAGTCCCAATTTTTGGAAAGAATGCAAGACAAGCTAGGAATGGCAGGACAGTGGGAAGGGAATATACAGTTTTCAGCTGCTGAAAAACTTAATGTAACTTCATTTGGAAATGAAAAGGCTAATGTAAACTCCCTACTCCCCTCCTGGGCAAGGTCGCCCAGATGGAATCATAATCAGAAGGAGACTGGCTCCCTCCCTTGCTTCTAGGCAAGGACAATTAGCTCAGAAGGAGCCAAACTGTCTGGAACAAACAAGTAGCCCCCCCCCACCCAGAGGATCCCTAACCATAAACAGCTCAGCCAATAACAGCCTGCCCTACAAAGTGAAATTCCTCTATGCACTTTTAAAACCTCAGCTCACTTCACTAGGGGGTCACCCTTCCTCCAGCCATGCTGAAGGGAAGAGTGGCCCAGGCATATGCTTGGAAAATAAAGCACTTTTGTCTTTACATGTGTGTGGGGGTCTCTCAGTGGCAATTCTGGTCCCAACACTGCCATGTGGCTATTTCACCAGGATATGAGTTTTATATTATTTTTGTTAATTTTATAATGTTAAACTTCAATAATAACAAATAATTGTTGAGAACTGATTATCAAGAACTGCTTATCAGAGTTTGCATTGTTGATCAGTTGTTAGAATTCGACCACCATCATTTGAACTTAATGAACAATGGCATTTTTTGGCATTGGCAACCATGAAACATTTTGTAACTGTCTCTCAGATGATACACATCATACTGCGTGCTAGTGCTAGTTAAACAAGTGATATCAACAAATCAGCTATTCAGGTAATTTAGGTAAGTAATTTATTTATTTATTTCATGAATTTAGCAGACAGTACTTGTATTATTTATATTTTATAGTGGCGGCAAAAAGTCTAGCGCTGGCCTTGAAAGTGACACTTATGACTTGCAAGGTATCATTATTAACAAAATATATTGATAAGGAAAAGTTTAACTCTTGGACATCAGCAAAAATCACAATAGAGAACAAATGGTTAGAAATATTTCATCATTTTGAAACAAACCATGTTCTATACAATAATGCACTAAAAATTGTGGGATACGTGCTGTCCTTACCAGGAACTAATGCTGCAACTGAACATGTTTTTTCTATGGTAAATAAAGTGTGGACATCAGAAAAATCACAATTAAGTGTTGAGACTTTGAAAGCCATTTTATGTGTGAAATATAATTTAACAAATTCTTGTAAAAAGCATGACCTTTTAAACAATGATAGCAATCTACTAAAAAAAATTCACTCAAATGAGAACTATGCCAAAGAATAAAATAATACTATACATAATTTTTTTTTTTTTTTTTTTTGGCCAGGGCTGGGTTTGAACCCGCCACCTTCGGCGTATGGGACGGGTACCCTACTCCTTTGAGCCACAGGCACCGCTCTATACATGATTTTTTTTAATGTATTGTATTTGTAAATTGTACTTATGTTGAAATTAAAAATATATATTGACAATACTATTTTAGCATTCTATGAAATTTTTTGTTGCTCCATATAGACCAAATTTTTAATTAAGAACACCAACCCCTCCCCCTCGCCCCGTCAATGGTGTCTTGCTTTACCAATGTTAAAATCTGGTCACCTTATCTTAGGTCCAAAAAGTTACTTGGATGGCTCACAGAACCCAGAGAACACTTATGTTTACCCATTTATTATACAGGACATTATGAAGGATACAGTCGAAGAGATGCACAGGGAAAGGTGTGGGGGAAGACACAGTCCGTCCCTGCTGCCTCTGGGACAGGCTGCCTTCCAGGCACCCCCGTGTGTTCACAACCTGCAAGAAACCCTAATCCCTTCGTTCATGGATTTTTTAGGGAGGCTTTAGCAAGTAATCATGATCGATTATTAATTCAATCTTTAGCCTCTCTCTCCTTCCCTGAGGATAGAGAAGGGTGGAACTCAAAGCTCCAAGCTTCTGATCATGGTTTGTCTTCCTGGTGACCAGCCCCCATCCAGGAGCCCACCAAGAGTTGGCCAGAACGAAAGACATTCTTGGCACCCAGAAAATACAAAGTATTAAGAGCTCTGTGTCAGAAATCAGAGTCTAAGGCCAAATATTAGAGCAAAAAATGCACCTAGGGGCCCTATCTCACAGGAAATTTCAAAGGTTTTAGGAGTCTGTGCCAGAAATTGGAGTCAGAGATCTAATGTATATTTCTTATTATATTGCAATATCACAGCTCAGATCATGCAGAGCCTTGGAGGCCATATTTGTTCATTAATTCATTCTGTAGATATGGATTAAGCACCTACTATATGCTGAGAAATATTCTAGGTACTAGAGATAGAGAAATAAACAAGACAAAGTCCCTTCTCTCAGGAAGCTTACAGCTTATAGTAGTAAGCAGGCAATCCATGAAAATGAATGAATGAGTGAATGAATTCCGCTCATGAAAGTACTTGGAGAGAATAAATCAGCAAAACAGGACAGAGAGCAACTTGAGGGAGGGCATAACTTTATATGAGTGATCAGGAAAAGCCTGGATGGGGAGAAGGAGCCGGCTGTGTGAAAATCATGAGAAGAAGATTCCAGGCAGAGACAATGGCAGGTGCCAAAGCCTTGCGGAAAGAACAGACTTGAAACTTTCAAGAGACAAAGGACTTCCTCTTGGAGAACCACCGAGCAGGAAAGTAACTGGATACAGTATCTGATTTAAGTTTCTCAGTGAGCCGTGGCTGCTATGTGGAGAATGGATTACAGGGGGCAAGAGAAGTTGGCAAGGGGCAGGTAGGAGGCTCTGCTAGGACAGGGTGAGAGCCAAGGGTGGTTTGGAGGTGGTGGAGGAGACACAACAGGAGGGAGTACTGCTAGTAGTGCCTGATCATTAGGGGTGAGGAAAAGACAAAGATCCAGGATGTTTCTTGAGTGACTTGAGGAACTGGGTGGGTCCCTCAGCACTGAGGGACACATAGAGCTGTTTAGGGACAGGCCCAGCTCTGCCTGGCTAAGGACAGTCCAGCTACAGAGATGAGATGCCTTTCTAACAATCTTCTGAGGATTCCCCTTTACAAATGAAAACACTGGAATTCAGGGAAATTAAAGAACTCACCTGAGGTAACCAGATAGTAAATGATAAGATGGGTATTCAAACCCAGGAACGTGACTCCAGAGCCAGCTAGGACCAAGAACCAGATCCTTTAGAAGCTGCAATTTTTCCTGGGACCCTAGACTTCATGCATGCACCAGACATTGTCTGCAGCCAGTATAAATAATATACACCCACGTAGGTCCTGTGGTGAGTTGAATGGTGGCCCCCAAAAGCTATCTCCACTTGGAATCTCAGAATGTGACCTTAGGTGGAATGAAGGTCTTTGTGGATGTAAGGAACATAAAGATATCAAGATAAGATCATCCCAGATCAGAGTGTCCTTATCAGAAACAGAAAGGGGATACACAGAGACACAGGGAAGAAAGCCATGTGAAGACAGTGGCTGCAGTGATGAGGCCACAGGCAAGGAATGTCAGGGGCCCTTGAGGTGGAGGACTCAAGGAAAGATTCTCCTCTGGAGGCTTCAGAGGACGCATGGCCCTGATGACACCTTGACCTCAGGCCTCTGCCCCATCCTCCCCACTGTGAGAGAATAAATCTCTGTTGTTTTAAATCACTCATTTTGTGGTCATTAGTTACCATATCCCTAGGAAACTAATACCAGGCCCACGATTCTTATCAGAAACATAAACATTTAAAAATATTACTAAACACGTAGTCACTATTTATCATTATGTTTTTTCCTCTACTCATGGACATAAAAATATTACTATCATGCATGGAAAAGAAATTATTTTTGCAATCCCATTATCTTCTAGATGGGGAAACCCAAGAGCCAGAGAGGGCGGTGGAGAAGTGGGAGAGCCGGTCTGGAGCCTGGTGCCCTGCCTTGTGAGGCATTCCTCTTTCTCCAAAGCCCCCGATGGTCCCCACCAACCCACACAGAGAAAAATCAGAGTCATGCTCACCCAACAGGAGGTTTAGAAACACTTCCCGCTTTCCTCTCTTTGCTTCCCAATTTGGCAACTCTGAGAGTCCCGTTGACACCCTGTGATTGTTCCAGAAAAAGCAAGACTTGCTAAAGGCCATTGGTCAGGTTTGCCTAATCCAAGCCACTTAACGTTCTACCCCTCCCTAATCCTCCCCTAGCCCCCCCCACCCGTCCCCTGATTTCAACACGCCAGGCTGAGGTAGGACAGGGTAGCCAGATTAAAAACAGAGCAGGACTTGGAAAGCTGGCCAGAGCCTGAGGCTGAGCTGCACCATGGCGTGGTCCGTGACCTGGGCAGGTGAGCAGGCAAGGTCAGGGAGAGTGGGGGGAGAGGTGGAGGGGTGTGGCCAGTGGCTCCTTGATACCATCTGAAAGAAAGCAGGAGGGCTCAGAACTTGGACAGTCATCCCTCTCCCTGCCTCCTGGCTTGCAGTCCCCTGATTACTTCTCCTGTGGTGTCCCCTTGGGCTCTTTCAGCCCAAGAGCCTTTGTGTTGCAAGGGAAGGCTTTTCTCAACAGACTGACAATGACTTTCCTCTTTCTGTCCTGGAAGACCAGAATCAGTGAGGCCCCTGCCCCTTTCTGTCTTTCCCACGTCTTAGGTCCCTCTTTTGGCCTTATCCAAGAAGCATCCACTGCTAAGAGATTCTTCCCCAACCCTATGTTGGTTCTCCTGCAAGAGGGAGCCTGGAGGCTATTACCCTGGGTGTCCATGAACATTTTTATGCAGGTTCTAATAGGTTAATGGGTCATTAAGTGAAAGAAATCTCTTTGAAGAACTCCTGCTGAGCCCCAGATCTCCCAGGATGTTGGTAGCACAGTGGGGCAGCAGTAAAGCAGCACAAAGCCATAACTAGTGGGGGCAGAGTCACAGGAGGCTCAGCAAGAGGTGGAATCTTCTGGGCCAGCCCTTCCAGATTGGTTCTTGCCAGGTCCAGGACAGGTTTTCTTCTTGTTGCAAAGGAGAAGCTTTCACTCTGAATGTCTCCAAGTCAGCAGTTTTTCTGAAATCTTCCTAAATCCATGCCATCCCCCACTGAGGCTCTAGAGATGGAGCAGCTTCAGCCCATGGAACTTTCCATCAGCTTCTGGGACCAGCCCAGGCCAGGAAGGGGCCCCCACTGTTTGGTCTGGGTGAAAGGATGGACACAGTGCCCTCCTGGATCCCTTCTGGAAGGAGAAAGTTTATTTGTATGAAACCACCCTGAAGCCAGCCCTCCCTGACCACCTCCCTCTCCTGTGCCTCATAAGCTTTGGGGCCTGGGAAGGTGAGAACGACATGGTAACCTCAGCTGCCTCTCTTGTGTCACTTCAGGTTTCCTGGTGTTGCTGGCGGTTCAATGGGGTAAGTGGCATCTTTCTTGAGGCCAGCCCTTGGTCCCCTCAGTCCTTGTCCTAGACCATGCTACATTCCCCCAAGTGCTCCCCTCACCCCCAAGAACTCTTGCCAGATGGGGACTTCTCAAAGCTCAGCCTCTGCAAATGTCCTTGTCCCCCTAGCTGCCCTGCCCTCACTTCTCCCAGGAAGATTCTTGTCTCCTGAACGATCAGCTGAACTCCTTCACATCCACGGGGCCAGAATATATGCCAGACCCTCATGGGTCTTTTCTGAGGTCACTTGCTCCCCACTCTGTGCTCTTGCAGCACTTGGACACACTTTACAGTAGTGTCACAGGGTCTGTAATTGTTGGCTTAAGTGTCTCCCCTCACCAGACTCTGCGCTACTGGAGGTAAAGAACCTAAGTCTTCTGTGCCCCAGCCCCTTAGCTCAGTGAGGAATACACACTGGCTCCTGCACCTGTTCAACTGATCAAATGTGGAACATGGGAGAGAGAGGAGGGGACCCATTCTTGTGTCAAACAGAGAGGAGATCTATGGGAATCTTCAGCAACCTGGACTCCCCTTTCCAGCCCACCCCACTTTCTAAGGCACCAGTGACCCCAGGATTTCTGGCACTCAGACCCTGGTCCTGTGAGTGCTCCGCCCTTCAGGCTGGGCTGTGGTACTGGGTGCACCTTTCTCCTCTTAGTCTCACCTAAGCTGAAAGAAGCAGAATCATGGCACAGATAGCAGGTCAAAGAGCTCTCAAAAAGCTTTAGTCCAGGCTACTTCCAGGCTTACAGAAGTACACCAACAGTAAGAAGACTCTGTGTGGACTAAGGGATAGTACATGCAAAGCAGCCAGGGCAGAGCTCACCCCATACAGGACTCTTCTAAATGTCTTACACACACAGTCCTGTGCTGGGTAACAAAGTTTCAATCAACAAAGGGACACACACATAATGACATTCCCATAAGATTATAGTAGAGCTGAAAAATTCCTACTGCCCAGGAATGTCATAGCACCATTACTTAATGTTTTTTATAAGTTTAGAGTAGCCTACACTGTTTGCAAAGTTTACAGTAGTGGACAGTGATGCCCCAGGCCTTCACATTCCCTCACCATTCACTCACTGAGTCACCCAGAACAACTTCCAACCCTGCAGGCTCCACCCAGGGTAAGTGCCCTATATGGGATGCCATATTTTACTTTTTATACTGTATTTTGACTGTCCCTTTTCTATGTTTTGATATGTTTATATCCAAGACTTATCATTGTAACATGCTTATCATTGTTTTGATATGTTTATATAACACAATACTTACCATTGTGTTACAGTTGCCTATAGTATTCAGTATGGTAACTTGTTGGATGGGTTGGTAGCCTAGGAGCAGTAGGCCGTACCATATAGCCTAGATGTGTAGCAGCCTGTGCCATCTAGGTTTGTGTAAGGACACTCTATGCTGGTCACACAATGATGAAATTGCCTAATGATCCCTGTGTCAGAATATATCCCCATAGTCAAGCAATGCACGTTCTGCGTTAACTTTTAGCCCCTGTAGTAAGTCCAATGAGGCACATATGGGCAGTACAATGATTGTACCATTTCACAGAGAAGAAAGTTGCAGAGTCGAGATTTCAACCCAAGCATTGACTTTCCACTTGATTGCCTCTATAGTACAAAAATCCATATGTGATATTTATCATATGACATGATATGATATGATAAAGAGTCTCCTTGCTTCCTCCTAGCTGGTCTGGGGGATGCATTCTCTGGGTTAATCACCTCCTTCCTCTTTTTGCTTTGAGGAGTTCATCTACCCTTTTATACCACTGCAGGCTACCCTCAGCCCTTGCCACCAATCTTCACTCCTGGGTTAGGGTCAGTGACTACCCAAGAGCTCTTCCTTCTCCTCCTCTGGAGCTGTCTGTGTGCCCTTCCTGTTCCTGGTTCCAGTTAAGGCCTGCCTGAGTGTCTCTTCCTGGAACCCCCCTAAAGCTGCTTCACACCTCTCCCCTCCTCCACCTTCTCACTGATCATATGGGGGCTGGAGAGGGTACAGAGGCTCTTTGGGGGCAAAGAGAAGTCCCCGGGTCAATATACCAGCTCCAGTCCAAACTTACTACTCCACCAAGTCCCTGGCATAAAGTGATGACTCATACAAACCACACCACAGAATGTGAGGTCAGATGAGACCCAGTCATTTCTGGCAGGTGCAGGAATGAAGACTAGCATTCCGCTTTCTGATGCCCTAAAGAACTGGCCTGAAGGAGGAGCCATCACCACCAGACCCCCAGTGGGAGCAGAGGCCACCCTCTCAAAAGTCTTCTCACACCTGTAGGGGGTGCCAGAGACAAACAGCCCTTACCTAGATAAAATGAGCTCTTTATTAGACTCTTAACAGTGATTTTAACAAGCATAGATTCTCTAGAAGGGATAACAGGTAAAGGAAGTAAACGCAAACTGCAGTAAAGAATCATAAACCTGGGCCTGCAGCGGGGGCCTCTTCTCTGGTATTTGGTGTATTTGCATTTTACTTAATATTCTAAAGTATTCCAAGCCATGTTTTAAAAGTGCTGCTCCCTTCCTTCAGCAGATGAGCATGTCCCATTGAATCACCTCTGGGCCTTACATTGGGGCCACCTGGGGTTGCCTTCTGGAAGGCTTTGGTGCCTGGGAGGAAGAGCCTACTTAGGGGTAAGAGGGCCTGCCTACCAGACCCCTGCCCTGGGGACCCAGGCTCTGAGCCTAGAGACTTTCAGGAGAGTCAAGGGCCAGGAGACTGGGTCCTAGTCACCTTGCTCTGGCCTCTTAGCAGCTGCACTGACTTGGATGGGTCCCCAGCTCCTGCATCTCACCTTCCTCACCAGTCAGATGAGGATTGTGACAATGGTCCTGCCTACTTACAGATGTTCTCAGCATCCATGGCTGACCCCTGAAAATGCTTCCCTAACTATGAGATGCTACACAAACAAAAGCAAATGCCATTTCTGAGTGTCATCAACTCACCTCACGTGTATAAGATGGATCCCAAGGGCACTGCCTTCCCCAGGATGGAGGGCACCAGGCCCTGCTACAGCCATTTCTTTTCTTTGCCCCATTGACCAGGCTCTGCTGCAAAATTGATCTGCTACTTCACCAACTGGGCCCAATACAGAGAGGGGGCAGCTCGCTTCTTGCCCAAGGATGTGGACCCCAGCCTGTGCACCCACCTCATCTATGCCTTTGCCGGCATGAACAATCACCAGCTCAGCACCATTGAATGGAATGACGAGGCCCTCTACCAGGAGTTCAACGGCCTGAAGAAGATGTGAGCCACAGCGGAGGAGGAGGGTTGGGAGGTGCAGGGGATAGATAACATTCCTTTTCAAAGCCAGAAACCTTTCCCAGCACTGCAGTCTTGCCACAGACCTGCTGCGTGGCTTTGGGCAAGTTGTATCGCCCCTCTGGGCTCTCCAGGGCTGAAGAAAGAGCTGGGGATAGATCAGGGGATCCTAATGTGCCCTTCTGGTTTAGGTCTAAGTGGAATCTGGGTTGTAAAACTCTCCCTCTCCTGGCAATGCCCTTCCTCATCCTGAAATCTATGGTTCCTTCAACTCAAGTGTTATGCCCACCTCCACAAGGCCTCTGAGGCCCCGCCCCAATCACCTGCTTCCTGAATTTCTTGTGTGTGCACACACAAGTTGTGTCTCCCCATTTAGACAGGAGGTCCCCAAAGTCAGGATCTTTTCTTTCCCAATCTACAGCTTTCCCCAGAGCGCTCAGGACAGGCTCTGCACGTAGGGATGTTTATACATTCCTACCCCTGTACCACTCCCCACCTCATCACCCCTGTCAGGGAGCCCTGGGAGCTGGCGCAGTAACTTCTGACATGTCTGTTGTCTTTCCAGGAATCCTAAGCTGAAGACCCTGTTAGCCTTAGGGGGCTGGAACTTTGGCACTCAGAAGTGAGTTGACTGTGGGCATGTGTGTGGCAGACTTGCTGGGTGGGGACCTGGAACACTGGCCAGAGAAAGCCCTCCCTGCTCAGGGAATCAAAGCCGGACTAATGTGTGGCCAGGGAGAGGGGGAGAGGGGGAAGCTGCGCTCTCAGGGCTGACTTTCCTTTGGGTTCTCGGTGCCCCATCAGCAGTGGCGATTTGGCTTAGCTCCAGGTTGTTACAGACCCAGTCTTGCCAGAAGCACAAGATCTAAACACAGCACAGAGAGTTCTGACCAATCCAGGCCTTAGTCTCTTGCTCCATAAAATGGGAAGAGGAGGGGCTTAACTAATCCTAGACAACATACATTGACCATGTTTTCTGAGCTCTGAAATGAAGCATCTCATCTGAGAAAGAATTTTTGTTTCACTTCTGGCTGTAAAAGATAGTCGGTGAGATTGAGCTTGGATGCCAAAATATTGGCATTCCTGGGGCAGGTTGGATGATTTATGAAGATAATGGACAATCTTTCTAAAACTTCTTCAGATTACAAACCCTTTTGAGAATCTGATGAAAATTATGACTCATCTTCCCAAAATAAGGCTTGTACACAGATTTTTCACTAAAACACTGGGATTGTTAGTCTGATATCCCCAGGCACATGGGCCCCACTGAAGAACTGTTGCCATTAATTAGATAAAATTATAAATTTAAAAAATTAATTTAAAATAGGGCTAGTCTGTAAAGGACTATAGACCCCCAGGAAGTCCAGAGACTCTTATAGGGAAGGAAGACATGGGAGGTGGTTCCTGAGGCAGCACAGGGATTTTGAAGAGCTCTGGACTAGTATTACAACAATAGCACAAAGCGCTCTACAGATGGGAGTCAGGGGAGAGATGACTGGGTTAACTTGCCAGGAAACTAAAACAGTGGGCTCCCAGGTCACCAGGTCTTTGTTGATCTGTCCCCATGTTTCTCTTCTTTTTCACTTTAGAAATTGGTAAGCTTATGAAGGGAAGCAGGGCTCCCGGGCAGTTAATGTGGCCCTGGGGGTGTCCATGTTTAGGGGTAGAAAGTGCTTGTATACCATGTGGTTAAGATCCATAACTCACCAGCAAATACCCTAGCAGCCTCCAAGGGACTAGGATCACTAGTGTTCTAAGTGGTCTTACCTCTGAGCAAGAAAGTGGCCCCTGCCTGGTTCAAGGCAGGCCCATGCTCCTCTACATCACCTCACAGGTTCACAGATATGGTGGCCACTCCCAACAACCGCCAGATTTTCATCAGCTCAGCCATCAAGTTTCTGCGCAAATATGGTTTTGATGGCCTTGACCTTGACTGGGAATACCCAGGAAGCCGGGGTAGCCCTGCTGTGGACAAAGAGCGCTTCACAGCCCTGGTGCAGGTATGGATGGGGCAGAGCAGGGTCACCCAGGCTGCCCAGAGCTGTGGCCCCACAGCACCCATGGGTGCTGCTCTGCCCCTACGGCCAGCTGTTTCACAGATTTACATAATACAGATCAGGCCACTGATCAGTTTCCACACTCCTGCAAGTGAACATCTGTCTAAGTGGGGCTTACAGGGGCCTTCCCAGTGCCTGTCTCTGTGTTTACTGGGAGCTTCCCCCATAGGAGTTGGCCAACGCCTTCCAGCAGGAAGCCCAGACCTCAAACAAGGATCGACTCCTCCTGAGTGCAGCTGTCCCGGCCGGGCAAGCCTATGTGGATGCTGGATATGAAGTGGACAAAATTGCCCAGTGAGTCTTGGGCAGATGAATTGGACCTATGCCCTCCCAGGTGGGAAAGGCCCAGGCAGACTGAGCTCCTAGGAGTAGAGCAGGTGCTCAGGCACCAGGAGTCATCTGGGAAACATCCCCCACCCCAACTCAGCAAGTCTGGGAAGGGTTTGCTCACAGCGTCTGCTTCTCCACCATTCCAGAGTCTTCCTTTGGGATCTCTGCCATCTTCCTTGGGAATCCACTCTTACAGTGAAAACACCCCTGGAGGAGGGGGAGTGAAGCCCCAGCATCTCCAGGGGAATGAGTTTAGATCCTTGCCCCTCAAAGTGTGATGTGTGGACCCTGGGGCGCTTGTTAGAAATGTGGGTTCTCAGGCCTCACCCTTGGTCTACTGAATATAAGCCTTCATTTTGATGATATTTCCTGGGCAATTTGCACGTACACTGAAGTTTAAGAAACACTGAGCTGGAGTTCTTTCCAAAATTGCAAAAGCAAGAGATTTCCTGAGTGGAATAGAGAGGGCTTAAGGGTGCTGATGGGACAGTGGGGCAAGGATGCCAAGACATGAGCTACCAGACCCTTAGCTTGAATGAGAATGAGCCATGATAAGGGGGGCTGCCTGGGAGTGCTACGTCACTGTCCACAGAGCCTGAGGTGAGCCCACCACCCCCACCTTGGACCACAGCAGTCCTCATGCATCACGGGGTAAGGGTAAGGAAGGAGGTTCCCTCCCCCATCACATGCCCCACCCGCTCTTTCTGTGCCTCTTACAGGAACTTGGATTTCATCAGCCTTATGGCCTATGACCTCCATGGCTCCTGGGAGCAGGTCACAGGACATAACAGCCCCCTCTATAAGAGGCAGGGAGAGAGTGGTGCCGCAGCCAAACTCAATGTGGTAAGTGGCTGGAAGGATGAGGCAGGACTCCCCTGTCCAGCAGGTACTGTCTGGTGGCCTCTTTGGAACTTCAAGTCCCTAATGGAAAAAAAAAAAAGGTACAAGAAAACCAAACAGGGCACTGATATTCAGAATTTCTTTGTTGTTGTTGTTCGTTTGTTCCATACTGCTGCTGGGGGAAAATGTTTATGGAGCATCTTAGCTGATAGTAGACACAGCAAACCGATCTGATGACATCAGACAAGTGACTGACTGGGAAGCCCTCTTCAAGCTTGAGTCTCCAGCCAACATGGCTTCTGCTTCCTTCACACACGCCCTCTCCAATTTCCTCCAAGACAATAGGCAGGCTTTTGCTCCTTGGTCACTGGTTGACCTTCTGGAAGGTGTTTTTAGGGGTGAGAGCTTTCCCAAGTTGGTAATATCCCACAGATGTTGCTCAGGACAAAACTACCTCTAGCCCCTTCAAAAGTGAGACTTGGTTTTAGACTGGGTTTGGCTAGGGTTTTCTGCCCAACTCTTCTTCACTGAGCAATTTAAAGATACTTTGTGTAAGTCCACTCTATATTTTAAAAGTTGGGAAGAACCATATTACTTCTCTTTCTTCAAACAAACAACAAGAAAAAGCCCTACATTAAAATGCTTTTTGCTTTTGGGTAGCCTGCATCTCTGTACAGCTGGACATTTTTTGTTTTCTGACTCTTTCACAAAATACACATCTTTGGGCTCATGAGTGAGGCATCCAAATTTCACAATGAGTCTAACCTCTCCAGCCCCATCTGTAGAACTGTGTGGGTTTTGGAGAAAACTATATTCCATAGCTGAGAGGTGAGAGTGTACTATCAGCACTCTGCTGTCCATGCTGTGTGCCCTGAATCCTCAAAGGAATGGTGGCCAGCTTCCTCCTACAGAGAAGGAAGGCTTCCACTTGCTACACAGTGTGTCTGGGGATTGCTTCTAGCCAGAGGAGTGACTTTTCCGAACTTGCACAAAAGTTCCATACAGGTGAGAAAGGCCATGACCTCAGAAAGCTCCAGTCTGGTCGTATACTATGTAGATGAGTAAAAAGAAATAAACATAAACAAATGTAGTGAAAACTGGTTTTTACCTAAGTAGTAAATGGGAATAGAGTAACTAGACCTAATACAACTAGGGTAGCTTCTTGGGGAAAGTGAGCCACTATCCTGGCATTATTTATTTATTTGATGGACTTATATTGGATACCTTTTTATGTCATAGGCCTAAGGTTTTATAGTAAGTAATACACGATCAGGGAAGGGCCGTGTTCAGAGATGGGTGAGAAAGCCTTTGTTCTATTTGAGCATCTAAATGTCAGACATTGTTCTAGGCACTGGGAATACAGAGATAAATAAAACAGGTACAGTTTCCTACTCTGAAACTTAACCACAATGATGATAATAATCACAGCTACCCTTTATTGCATTCTGCTAGACCTTATACATGTATTATAACCTTTAATTCTTACAGTGCCCTTAGGGAAGGATATTTTCATTATTTCCATCTTATAAAACGAAAGGCCCAATGAGGTTAAATAAGTGACTAAGTAAGGTAGGGAACAGTGTCTTTGTTGGCTGATTTATTTCAAGCTTCTAGGACAGAGCCTGCACACAGTGGGCCATCAGTGCACACTTGTTCAGTGAATGATTGATTCCCAAGCCCATGATCTTTGGCTACTCCATCATGCAGCTTCTCTCACTGGGGTGAGGGTCCAAGACAGGTCCAAAAGAAGATGGGACAGTGCTGGAATACTAATGAAGGTTGTTGAAGCTCCAGCTGAGGCGTCCCCGCCCTCCTAGCTCAGTCCCTAGAGCCGTCAATCTCAGACAACCAGAGCCAGGCTGAGGGCAGAGAAATTAGCCCTGCCCTCCTTCTCCATCACCAGGACGCTGCCGTACAATACTGGCTGAAGAGGGGGACTCCTGCCGATAAACTGATCCTGGGCATGCCTACCTACGGACGATCCTTCACTCTGGCTTCCTCATCAGACACCAGAGTGGGGGCCCCAGCCACAGGGCCTGGCACCCCTGGCCCCTTCACCAAGGAAGGAGGGTTTCTGGCTTACTATGAGGTAGGAAAACCCATAGCCATCCTGGGTACTGTGGGTGACAGGGGCTTCCTGGGAATGGAGAGGGCTCCTTCTTCCACAGTTCCTGGGAGAGAATACCAGGCACAGAGAATTCCAGCCAGGTGAATCCCACCCCAATCATTCCATGTTGGGTTTATCCTTAAGGCCAAATTCCTTAAGCTGAGTCCAGGGTTCTAGATCACCCAGTCTAGAACCTCTAGATTTTCCAGGCTTCCTCAGTCAGGAATTTTCTAATCTCTGATCACCTCCTGATGGGGAAGGGCAGGAGCCACCTTCCTTCTCCTCAGTACTCCCCTCCACTCTCACAGGTCTGCTCCTGGAAGGGGGCCACTGAACGCAGAATCCAGGACCAGAAGGTGCCCTACGTTTTCCAGAACAACCAGTGGGTAGGCTTTGATGATGTAGACAGCTTCAAAGCCAAGGTGAGTTCCAGCCCTGCTGGGATGGAGGTGGTCCTGGACGGTCAAGGCCTGTCGATGACATGGAATAAGCACATGTAGGACCTCCTTAAGGAGGAATCTCCTTTTAAATGTCCAACACTTCACAAATCTCCATGTAATAGCATTTAAGGAATTGTATTTTCCTTAAAAATTATACAAATTCTGTACAAATTCTACAGATACATGAAAGGAGAAATATGTATGGTGAGGCCTATGGTCTTATTCAGTCCGTTGGCAATTTTTGGTGCTTGTTCAAATTATAGGCCTTTTGATTTATTTAAAGGACCCCCTCCTCCTGCCCATTATTGGTGGCCCAAAGCTTTAAGGTATTTATTTCCATGCCATTCTATCCCATGAGATGAGCCCTGCATTTGTTTATCTGGACAACCCACATCTGTCATCGATGTGACTGACAGTGGCAGGTTCTTCTAGAGGTGGAGACAAAGTGCTCTGGGAGGACCAAGGAGGGTGTGTGATCCTGGTTGGGGAGACAGGAGAAGGGGTCATGATGGAAGAGCATTTTAGATATGGCTTAAAGCACAGGAGGCAAGCATTCTGGGGGGCGACCGCCCAAGCAAAGACACAGCAGAAAAGAACAGGGAGGATGAACACTGAGAACAAGGTGCAGGCCCCCATAGCTGGACCCCTGATAGGCATAGAAAGGAAGGTAGCTGGAGGGGGAGATTGGGGCCAGCCAGGGGTCCAGACCACCCCCATCTTCTAGCCCACAGCCCCACGCAGGAAGCCTCAGGAATCAGGCAGAGGAAAGAGAAAGCCAAGGAAGCAACATTTGATTCAGATCTTTTGGGAAGCTCAGTGGTTCCCTGTGCTAACTGAACTTAACACAACCAACAGACACCAGTACCCTCAAATGGTGTAAAGGCTTCCAACTTAGGGAGGTTCACACACCTGACACTAGTCCTGCCCCATCCCCTGCCCCCCACCCCAGGCTGTGCTTATGTCAGGACAAGGGAACTGCAAAATGACTGTGGCCGGAGGATACTGGAGAATAAAAGGGTCTTGTCCAGATGAGGTAGCTGGGCTCTGGAGCTGGCCTGGCCAGGCTCACCTGGGCTCCTCCACCTGCCTCTCCTCCCTGTGCAGGCTGCCTATCTGAAGCAGAAGGGACTGGCTGGGGCCATGGTCTGGGCACTGGACTTGGACGACTTTGCTGGCTCCTTCTGCAGCCAGGGCCGATACCCCCTCATCCAGACACTACAGCAAGAACTGAGTGGTAAGGGGTTACACCAGAGGCAGAGTTTGGAGGTGGGGTACAATCAACAAACCATCCTGTCCTTCCAAGGAAATGACCTTGCCTCAATACTGTGATTTCCCAAGTGTCATGCACCCAAGAGCTAAGGAAACTGTTGAAATGATTCTCTTTTTGCACTCCTCTTTCTTTTCCTGGCTGTAGCAATGCCTGCCCAGGGTATTGTAACTGTGGCTTCCCTCCAAAAGGCCCTCAGCCTGGGAGAAGCAGCTTGCTCCTCTCTTATCAGGGGGAAAGCCTGCACTCAGCCTGCAGAGCTGGGGGGCCCCACCTTCCCCCACCAGTATATGGCTGGGCTTTGCTGATGGTATATGCCTTTGCCTGCCTGGTACAAGAGGAGCTCAGGTGTTGTCTGTGGAGCTATGCTCCAGCCATTGTGGCTGATGTCTGGCTGTTCTGTGCCTGGGTACCTGGCTGTGCCCTACCTGTAGGGTATGGGGTGTTGGCTGCTGCCTGCCTGTGGTTGCTGCCTGTGTGCTTGGCCTATATGTTTAGGATCTCTCAGGGGAGCCTCGATTGAATCTTCACTGTCTTCCTAGGTCAGTATGTGCCTTCAGGCCCCTCAGAACCTGAAGTTCAAGAACAGGATGTGCCCTCTGAACCTGAGCATGGCCCCAGCCCTGGACATGACACTTTCTGCAAGAGCAAGACTGATGGGCTCTACCCTAACCCTCAGGAAAGGTCCAGCTTTTACAGCTGTGCAGGGGGACAGCTATTCCTGCAAAACTGCCCAACAGGCCTGGTATTCAGCTCCTCCTGCAAATGCTGCACCTGGAATTGAATCTCCAAGGCCTCTCCAGCCCCAACCCCAAGGCTGGGCCTGGGGCCACTCCACAGCCTGTCTCCTCAGCCTTCCTGGGAACCACAGTTGGCTCTGCAGGCCTCTATATGGTCTTTCCATATCCAGATTTTCTGCTCTCAGCCTTAACTTACTTTTTCATGAGTCTTCTTGGCTTCCCCTTTCACTTGAAAAATAAATCTTTGGTTTGCACAACAGACATAGTGACTTTAAGCTCATTGTTGACTCCAAAACTCCCTGGGGAACCAAGGGGGAAAGACATCTATAGAGTGCCAGATGGGAAGGTGGTTGGTTTAGGATGCGCCAGCCCCTATGCCAGGACTCACGTCAATGAGTCTAGGTTCCAGTGGATAGCGTCCAGCCCACAAGTGACAGCATCTGGACCACGGCCCCAGGTGTGACACATTCGTTGTTCATTGGCTCAAAAAGCGTTTGGAGATGGGAGAATTTCCTGCCCCTCCACTTGGGTGTTATTCTCAAGATTCACACTAGATGGCAGCAGAGAAGAGCCTGTCCCTGCTTAAGTGCCGCTCCCACCACTCTGCAGCAGGATAAGAATCCTGACCCTGGGTACTCAGCGCTCATTTGCTAAATCCTACTTGGGGCCTTTCTTTCACATGCCCATCTCACCCACTGCTCCTATTCACCAGATGAGGCAGTAACAATTATTATCCTCCTTTTACAGGCATTTAGACTGATTCTAACCCGTTCTGAGTCCGAACCAAGGCCTGAAACGGGCCAAGACCCTGCATGCACACAGTGTCCTGGGTAAAGAGTAATCTAAACATCTAAGCTTTGGGTTGCACCTTGGTCATTCTATTTGAAGAAAATCTGCACGTAACTTAATGATCTAGCTTGTCGCTCTAAGCTGGGCTTTGGATGGGGCTCAGGCAGGCAGCTGGGGACGGGGTCAGTTGGAGAGAGAGGTGGTCTGGCCCCTCAAGCGAGTACAACCAGCACCAGTACAAAGTTTTCCTCACTCTGAACCTGCCCAGATGGGCACTCTAAAACCTGCTCTCCCTTAGTGCAGAGCACAAACTGCGTGGCATGTTTCTGTCCTCTGAGGTCTCAACTGGGAGGGGATATGCCACATCCACATCCCAAAGAGAGCTCCCTAGCTGTTCAGAATGGAGTCCTGGACAGGTGTGTCCACTACATCCCAGGTGTGTGTGACCTCAGGCAAAGAAATGGAGCCTCGATCTCCTCACCTGTAGGATGGGGATATCCCGTGCCCTCAGGGCAATGTGAGGAATCGGTGACGCAGTGTACATCTACCCTCTAGTCAGTGTTCACTCTTTCCACTCCTCTTCCCTTCCCAGCCCTTTCTTTACCCTCTCATGAGCTGGATAAGGCAAGAATTTAGCAGGTCCTGTAGTCTTTTCTTAGCAGAATGAGCTCATCTATGAGTGCCTGAATAACCTAAGCCCTCCCTAGGTACTCAGTCTTGCATCTGCCCTGGTTTTATCCTCAGGAAAGTATCATCTCTGGTCTTCATACCCACCCACCCCTGCTGCTCTGCAAACTCACCATCCTCACCTCAGCTCAGGCCGGCATCAGCTCCCACCTGGGCCATCTTCTACCTGGTCTTCCTGATTCCTGCCTACCCTGCCCTCCTCCAGTTGGCCTCCACCCTGAAACCAGTTTAATCTCTCCAAATTCGGAATCCTATCTTGTCATTTCCCTTGCTTAAGAATTACAAACAGCTTCCCCCAAAGAATAAAATCCTTACTCATCAACGCAGTGTCAAGATTCTTTCATCTTTTATTATACCTGCCTGAATTCAGCCTCGAGATACCCCAGCTGTCAGTGTTAACCTCACCCATGCCAGCTCCCATGTGAGATCCCCAGATGTCCACTGTTGCCCTGGAGCTCAGGTCCACACATTTTCTGAATAAATCCTGCTTGAGACAAGAAAAATAAGAGCGCCTTTAAAGTCACTTGTGCTCAGACCCAGTCTCCTATGACACCCCCTCGGCCTCTGGACCCCATGTGGCTCCTAGAGTCCTCCTGCCACTCTGGAGTCACTCAGTACGTGCTGAGTGTCTTCAGTGTGCCAGGCCTGGTGCTCCACTGGACACAGCAGGAACAAGAGTCAGGGCTCTGCTTTACTTGGGCTAGCATTCTATTTGTTCTATTAACAAATGTGCAAATAAGGTCATTGCAGACAGTAATTAGTGCTGTAAAGGAAATGATGTATGGCTAGAAGTGAGAGGATATGGATGAGGGAACGGCTGTACACAATGAGATCACAGAAGGTCCTCAGTGCAGGTCACATGTGAGCAGAGATCTAAAGTCTAAGGAAGATTTGCCCACACGGTTCTGAGATCCAGAATCCTTAGAGCTGAGCCCGGCTACAGTTCTTCTCTGAACACCTTTGTTAACCCAGCTTATAGGACAGTGCTCCCACCTTGGTCCCCTCTGGTAAGTGTCCCCTGTCACGCTGTCCTGGCACCTCCTCTGGCACAGGTGCCTTGTCCAGAACCCCAGTCTGGTGGCTGTGATCATGGCCTCACAGACAGGTTCCCTAGAACAATACCTACTTCCCTGTCCCTTATAACAACTGTTGCCTCAATTCCCACCCCGCTGGGAATTTAGATAATAATGACTGAGATCAGGGCTCTTGAGGCCACTGCTCTGGCCCCTGTGATGGTACCTTCAGAGTCAACCTTTCTGATTACTGTCGCCTCTGTCCTGCACAGTCCAGTCCAACATCTCCCCTCTCATCTGCTCCACGCTGCTGTCAGGAAACCACCAAGCACTGACCCCATGTCTGGTGAGATGACATATGTCCCATATGTATCATCAGGAGTCCCCCAAGCCTATACCCTTCTTGAGCACCCTCCACACTGTCCTTTTGCATCCGGCTGGGCTGTTCTTCCATTCCCCACCAGGCCACTTCTAGTCACCTTAAGGAGTCAGCTCACAGGTTATCTCCTTCAGAAAACATTGCTGAGTACCCCAGACACCAGTGCCTGCTTCCCTACCACCCTGCAGCACCGGGCCACCTCACTCACGCATGCAACCGTAGCTATCAAGCTCTAGGTGTCACATTCCTAAGGGTAAGGACAATGTCTTCACTGGTCCTCTCCATCCATGACACATGTTTGAGGCTCAATAGATATCGGACGATGTAGTATCTGATTGTTTTCTTCTTTTGTCCTTGAGTGCAAAAATCAGTTCTGCATCTCTATTAGAGGATTTCCGGGCTGAAGTCACAGTTCATGACAAGAGCATTACTCTCCCCAGCCCTTCCATTGAACACCATCTGCTCTTTAGTGTCCAGCCACTAGTCCTGTCCTTCAAAGGGACAGGGCAATTCACATTTATTGCATGACCGGGGAACATACAAGCCTTGTCTTAGGCACTCAGTAAATATCTACTGAGTGAATAGTGAGTGAGGGAATCTGTGCATTTAATTGTCACCGTACCCCTGCAAAGTAGGTGTCATCTGTTTTTCTGAGGTTACACAGCAGTAAGTGGCAAAGCTACGATTTAATGGTTTTTTTGTTTTTTTGTTTTTTTGAGACAGAGCCTCAAGCTGTCCCCCTGGGGAGAGTACGGTGGCATCACAGATCACAGCAACCTCCAACTCCTGGGCTCAAGTGAGTCCCATGCCTCAGCCTCCCAAGTAGCTGGGACCACAGGCGCCTGGCCATTTTTTGGTTGCAGCTGTCATTGTTGTTTGGCGGGGAGGGGGGGATTCGAACCCGCCACCTTAGGTGTATGTGGCTGGCACCTCAGCCACTTGAGCCACAGGCACCGAGCCAAAGCTATGATTTAGATGCCAACCTAGGTGAGAACCAGAGCCCGAGTATGCTCTGCTCCCCAAAAACAATGCTGGCATTTCCTCCCCAAGTTAAAATCATGTTCATTTTGTATGTCTCTTCCACCATGTCACTGTTGTCTTCACCTCAGAGGCCATGAGTATTGGCTTCATGTCCACGTCCTTTTATCATCGATGTCAATCTTAAGAGATTCCAAATGCAGAAGCTATGTGCTCAAGTCAAGGCAGTGGTGAGGTCGAGGCCTGACCCAGATCCACCCATGTTCTCACTTGCTCTCCCTCTTGTGCCCTCCTTCACGCCTCAGCTCTTGTCCTCCATCATACCTGATTTTATGGTTTACCTGGGCATGAAAAGTTAATAATGGCTTGGCGCCTATGGCTCAGGTGGATGGGACGCCAGCCACATATACCTGAGCTGGTGGGTTCAAATCTAGCCCAGCCCGCCAAAACAACAATGACGGCTGCAACCAAAAAATAGCTGGGTGTTGTGGTGGGCGCCTGTAGTCCCAGCTACTTGGGAGGTGGAGGCAGGGGAATCTATTGACCCCAGGAGTTGGAGGTTGCTATGAGCTGTAATGTCCCGGCACTCTACTCAGGGCGACGGCTTAAGGCTCTGTCTCAAAAAAATAAAAATAAAAAAAGTTAATAATACTTGAAATGGTAAGCATGATGTGGGCATTTACCATGTGCCAGGAGCTGTGCCGGGGCCTAAGGGGGAGGCAGAAATGAATCCTGCCCTTACCTGTATACAGTTGGTGGGCATGTCCAGGGTCAGCATCACACCAAGGGTGGGGAGGGGAAGAGGACTTCACCTCTGATACTGTCTCCAACTGCAGGCTCATGTAGATACTCAAAGCAGACCAAATCTGACTTTACTCTTATTTTTTTAATTCTCTAATATAAAGCACCCTTATTGCCTCTACCTGACAACCTCCTGTTGCCCAAGACAGTCTCCTCCTTATGAAGTGTGAGTCCCTGCCCCAATGCTAATACTGCTTTTAAACAAAACTTTCTCTCTTTACCCCTCAAGTTGCCCCCATCTCTTTAACTTGTAAGCCAGGTGATGCATCCTGTATGGCCTTAGAGGACAGGCTCAAATGCTGTTTAAATTGTTAGGTGTGCTTGACTTTCAGCAGGATAGTTTGAATGGAATTTGGGGTTATTTACACTTTGGCCACTCTCCCTAACAATGAGGACCATTTTCAGCCCATAAAGAAATCCCTGCGGTCTTCTCTCTGACATCATTCATCATGAC